GGCTGGGAAGAAATAATCTTTCAATACTGTAAATGTATGATGGGGGAAAAAAGCTTATGCATGCTGTTAGTTGTTTGAGAGATTTATAGATGAAGCAAGACTGAGAAATTCCAAGATATAACCATGTTTTAATCTAGCAGGATTAGTAATAAAGTCTGACTTGGAACAAAATGAAGAATTTTTGAAATGAGGAGATAAAACTGATGATTTGGAAGTTTATACGCTCATATTATTCAGTTTAATAATGCAGTATAACTTAGCCAAGTTAAGGAAGTCTGTTCTATATTGTTAAACTTAATCAATTTAATAAATTGTATGGATTCATTTACAGAATCACAAGGCATAGATTTCAGAGTGGTAGCCGTGTTAGTCTGTATCAGTAAAAAGAACAGGAGTACTTGTGGCACCTTAGAGACTAACATTTATTTGAGCATAAGCTTTCGTGGGCTAAAACCCACTTCATTGGCCGCATGCAGTGGAAAATACAGTAGGAAGATTTTATAGATATATATATAGATACACACACATAACGAGAACATTGTTGCCATACACACTATAATGATAATGATCAATTAAGGTGAGCTATTATCAGCATGGGGAAAAATACCTTTTGTAGTGATAATCAGGATGGCCCATTTCCAACAGTTGACAAGAAGGTGAAAGTAACGGGGGGGGGGGGAGGGGGAATAAGCATGGGGAAATAGTTTTACTTTGTGTAATGACCCATCCACTCCCAGTCTTTATTCAAGCCTAATTTAATGGTGTCCAGATTGCAAATTAATTCCAATTCAGCAGTCTCTCATTGGAGTCTTTTTTGTTGTAATATTGCGACTTTTAGGTCTGTAATCGAGTGACCAGGGAGACTGAAGTGTTCTCAGACTGAATGTTTTTGAATGTTATAATTCTTGACGTCTGATTTGTGTCCATTTATTCTTTCACATAGAGACCGTCCGGTTTGGCCAATGTACATGGCAGAAGGGCATTGCTGGCACATGACAGCATATATCACATTGGTAGATGTGCAGGTGAATGAGCCTCTGATAGTGTGGCTGATGTGATTAGGTCCTATGACGGTGTCCCTTGAATAGATATGTGGACAGAGTTGTCAATGGGCTTTGTTGCAAGGATAGGTTCCTGTTTGAATCTAGAGATCTCTTTAAATAATCTTCCCAATCACCATTTGTTTGACCAGTGTTGTCAGATTTTTTGAAAAAAGCACAAGGAACCAAAATTGCACTAAAAATGTCCATGTATCTCACCAGTACTTTAAGCATATGGAAAGACTGATATCTCAGACACCAGACTGTGGTAATTTGCCAATGCTGCTTTTTAAATGGTATTAGGCTGTAGTTACTGTATGATGTTGGCAGTGGAAAAAATGCATAGGAGTCTTTTCTAAGTGCTTGCTCTATCAAGACTTCCAGTGAAATGTAGGTAAAAGGTTCATCCACATTGCAATACAGCTGTGGCGGCAAACCCAGCTGTGATATTTCTTAGCGGCATCATCAAATTAACCATTTAAAAGTACACAGTTTGGTTTATATCCACACAACAGCTAGATATGCCATCATAATGGTGTTTTGCATCAACCACTTTTTCTTTTGCTTGTCTCAGTGCATTCTTGGCAGCTATTGCATAGTGCCTCATAGCTGTCATCACCTAAAATAGGGGTTCTTTTTGTAAGGGCTTCTCACCTTTCTCAATAGGATTTTGGGATTTCTTATGTAAATCCCAGAATCCACTGCCTCAGTGTTCATACTGACCATTTCCCACATCCGTTTAGACTGTTGTATCCTAAAGCTTCTGGAGTTTGCTGTTTGACAACCTGGATGCATATGAGGGGAGAAATTAAAACATCATTCAGAGCCTTCTGAGATGGTAAAATGACTACAAGATAGAGGTAATGAAGAGGTTCGTGTCTAGCAACACCAACAAGTGAACTGCAAGAAGGGCAGATTAGAGCTGGGGCTGGTACATCCACTGATGGGACAACATTACGACCGTCTGGACAGATTCAGTGTTCGAGATATCCACAAAAAACCAACCCCATCTTTGACTTTCAAGGGGTGGAGCTAAATCCTCCATATCTGTCTCTGTAGATGCCATTGCACAGTGGAGTGCAAGCAGATTATAGCAGGGGTGGGCAAACTTTTTGGCCTGAGGGCCACATCCTGGGTGGGGAAATTGTATGCAGGGCCATGAATGTAGGGCTGGGGTAGGGGGCTGGCTGTGGGAGGGAGTGCAGTGTGCAGGAAGGGGCTCAGGACAAGGGGTTGGGGTGTAGGAGGGGTCATGGAGTGCAGCAGGAAGCTCAAGGCAGGGGGTTAGGGGGCTTGGGGCAGGGTGCAGGACAGGTTTGGGGTGTGGGCTCTGGCCCAGCGCCGCTTACCTCAAGTGGCTCCAGGGTGGCAGTGGCGCGCGCTGGTGCTAAGGCAGACTCCCTGCCTTCCCTGGCCCTGCGCCGCTCCCAGAAGTGGCCAGCATGTCCGGCAGTGGCTGCTGGGGGTGGGGCGGGGCAGGCGGCTCCACCGCATGCTGCCCTTGCCTGTGGGTATCACCCCTGAAGCTCCCATTGGCCATGGTTCCCTGTTCCCGGCCAATGGGAGTTGTGTGGGGTGGTACCTGCAGGTGAGGGCAGCGCAGAGCCCTCTTCCCCCGCTTCTCCCAGGAGCCACAGGGATGTGGTGCTGGCCGCTTCTGGGAGCGACACAGAGTCAGGGTAGGGAGAGACCCTGCCTTAGCCCTACTGCGCCACGGGGCTGGCAGTCCTGCAGGCTGGATTGCAAGCCCTATCTGGCCCACGGGCTGTAGTTTGCCCTCCCTCAATATAGTTTGACAGAGCTCTTTAACACAGGGAAGTCCACGATGGAAAACGTTTTGCATTGTAGTCTTCCCCATGAAAGGTATCAGTTTGGAAAGACAGGTATTAAGAAACCATTCCCATTAGCACTGCATATTGTGGAGATGGGACTTGAATGCAACAATCGCCTCCTATGCAAACATCTTTCCGCTCATCATATGGGCATGTTTCAAACTGTTGTGTCCATTTCTTCTATTGCCAACACTGCTTCACTCTAGCCTGTTGTCTTTTTCTTAACCTCTTCCTGCACCTTTCCACTATGGCCTGCATGAATGTTACCACAATCTAGAGACAGCAGGCTACTTTCTATAGGTGATGTGAGAGCCATTGCTTTCCTACCTTGTACCATGACCATAGCTTTTCTTTTTATATGTACACACTTTCAGACACTTCTCTTTAGCATGCTGTTCATTCCACTACAGGACACAACTGTCAGGCCTGGTACTTCTCATAGCAGATACTGAAGGCCTCAGGACAATGGTAAATCATCTTTTAAGATTCACAATTGACTGAGGTATCTGATTTCAGCTCTACTAACACAGTATAGGCAGCAGGGAAGAGCTTATTTTACAGGCTGCTCAAGCAAGCAGGCAACTGTTACCTCGTGTTATAGAGCTCATCTACTTCCAGGATACTGGACCACTGTGCATTCAAGGATATAGAATAATAAGTGTAGTTACAAAACGAGCTTACAGAGCCTGGGTATCATACAGAGTTTCATTAAAGAAATATGCACTACTTGTGACCCTGCTGCATAAACTAGAAGAGGAGCAGACTGAAAATTTTTAAATGATCACTGATAAAGGTAAAAGATAAGATTCATACAACTGAGCCCACCTGAAATTTTTTTCCCCACAATTAACCATTAATAAGTGCTTCTGACATAACACAATCAGACTAAGTTTTTCCATTTGCCTTTGCAGAGATAGGAGACCGATGTTGCACGCCACCTTATTTACACTCTCACTGGTCTTCGCTCTTCCCACTACAAGCATGAAAGACTAAAGGAACAAGCAAGGATTCTCATTTTTATAATGCACGATGAGGAGAGGAGGTTGGTACAGAATTAGAGATGAAATTACTTATTAAATGTCTGATTGGAAGGTTATGACTGATGAAGGAAAGCTATTGGGCAGATATGTTGTAAGGCAAAAATCGGGGAAGGATGGTTTCTTCCTCTCAGGAAGAAGGAAAGTAAATTGTCATCTCAGCAGCATTATTCAACTAACAGCAGACACCATTCATTTGGACTCCACAACCGTGGAGTAGGGCAGACCAAAGAGCAAGGCTGGCCCTTTCAGCATTTGCTTATCTGCCTTCTCACTCTGCACTTTGTAACATCACAATAGGAAGTCCCTGACAGCATTTCTTCTGTATGAATGTGCCCCTCATCTCCAATCCAAACAGGTTTACCCTTCAGTTCCAGCAGATCCCCCAAACATCCAAGGGAAGGAAAGAAAAGAAAAGAAAAAAAAAGGAAAGGAAGACAAACCCTAGTCCCGATAGAAGAATTAAAAGTGAACTTAAGCGCATCGCATGGAATCCCCAGTCCCAAGAGAACAGCATACACTGGGGATCTCAGGGTCCTCACTTCTCTTCCAACTGGTCTGCACCTCTTCATGTTGTGGCAAAATGGCAGGTTTTCAGAAATTAGACTCACTACCCACTGTGAATCTTTTGAGACCAGCAAATCAATGATTAAGGCTTGCATTTTAAATTATGATTATACTTTGAGCATTTAATTTAATCTTTATCCCATAAACAGTGCTGTAACCACACAAATATTTTCTGATTTCTGAAGCTGGAGAAATCCGAGAATGCCCCTTCATGATCAGACAGTATATAATCTTTAGACTTCAATAAGGATAGGAATGAAACTGAGTAGAGAAACAAAATCCCATGAGGCTACCTCCTAGAAGGTTACAGTGAAACCTGCACTAAGGACAGCCTTCAGTTAGGCACTCCTGTCTAAAGCGACCACTCAAAGTACCCAGTGTTTCTAGTGAATTGTTCTAACACTAGCCATATTATTTTTAGTTGCATGGTAATTGAAGACAATTTTTAACCCTTCATTTAACGTTGATTTATATAACATTACTATTGAAGTAGTAAGTGGAAAGACTAAGTACATTTGACCAAGTTAAAAGTTACTGTCATTTATATTTATTTGCATTTGATTAACAAAAATTACAAGACTTCTTATAAAATTGAGAGCGTAAGGAGTAAGATTGTGCTTTAATGCTCCAGAAAGTTTACCAGAACTTGAAAGGCCAAGGGATTTTTTTACATTACATTTCAGTGAATTATTTCATAGTTAGTATTGCATGAATCAAAAATCCAATGATAAAAGAAAAGAACGACCAACATTATCTTAAAAGCAAGCAGATTAAAATGCAGCATGAGTCGGATTTGGAGTTTAATATTTCATGAGTACCAGCTCTACAGCTGCAAACCTCCTGAGTTTCACATCATTTATTGGAAATGAAAATACCTATACTAAAAACCAGCGTTTCACGAATGCGGCCACAGCCTCCTGGATTGTTGGGGGGGGGGGGAGGGGGAGGGAGGAGGGGAAGAGCAAAGCAGCAGCCCCTCCCTGGTGTTCCTGGATGCACCACCTTGGTGTTGGTTACTGGGGCCACCAGCAGGGTTGCCCTCTCCCCCCCCCCCGGAGACACCTGGAACACAACACTGGAGAAGCAGGCAGCCAGTGAGTTCCTCACCTTCCCAAGAGAAGTGGGGCTTAGGCTTTGGACTTCAGCCCTGAGGTTGTGGGGGGGGGAGGCTCCTGCCACAGGGATTCAGATTGCAGCCCTGGGCTCCCAGCTGCGCAGCTTTGGGCTACATCCTCCAGCCACGGAGCTTCAGGCTGCAGCCCCCTGCTGCCTCCCTCGGCCCTCCTCTCCCACATCAAGGGTTTAATTTGTCCCCAGGCTTGCCGGGGCTGAGTATGTCTGTTGTGAAAAGTGATACTTGTATGTTTGTTAAGATCACTTTTCACAACATGCTTATTAGCTAGTAATAAATAAATTACAATGATTTGGACATGTAAATGTGTATATTTATTTTTTCTAACAGTAATTAAGTATTTTAGGGAAAAGTGTGACAGCGGCCCCCAGGAAGAGTTAGTGGCCACACTCTGAGGCCACCAAAAAATTTGTCCCGAGAATCCCTGTACTAAATAGCAAAATTACACTATCACAAAATTTTACCAAGAAAATCCTTCAAAAGGCAATAGTTACATGGCATCCTTGAGCAAAATTGATGCAAATCAGTCCAAAAATATGTAAGTTTGACAAAATAAGTCTGAAGCTACAGTAAGACTGTACAAGATTTTCCTATGTTTCTCTTATTCAAAACAATGCTATGTTCAACTGTACAGCTGTTAGGTCTAACTTGTTAAGAATTTATTAGCATTTCTACTATAAAATTTCAATTTACAGGAGTTTTGTAAAACTCAGCTGTGAAATGTTAATTCTGTCTGAAACTAGGTATACTAAATTTACTCTTTGGTTGAAATTATTTAAACTCAATTGGTTTGCACAACAGTTTGGCTATTTTTAGTCTAAACAACAGAGGAAAGACATCTGGACTATTTTCAGCTGCATCTGTAAACCTTTACCAAAAAAAGCCATTAAAGTATGCAGTTCAGTTTACCGTGGATTAGCCATGTTGAATTTTTGTTTACTACAGAATTAACTGTAAGTCTAAATGATTTAAATAATCCTATTTAGAACCCAAGTAAGACTTTATAGTAAAGCAGTACATCAAATTATGTCAATGCAGTGACAATTCCAAAGAACATGAAAAAATGTTTGTCTCTAAAACTAGATATTGAATCTGGCAGATGGTTACAGAAATATATCATGAAGTAGTTTCTTTATGCTATGATCCCCTATAGTAGCTGAAGAGAGAAGCAAAACAGTAAGAAGCAATTCTATCATAGGCTTGTGATAACAAATGTTATGGAAGCCACTACAATCCAGATGCCCCACATGCATATGACCACAAACATAAACTCTATGCCAGTTTCAGCTTTTGCTCACCCAGTTCACTTTAGGAAGTAGGTTGCAAAGATGGCTTTGCTCTTGCCCACTGCTGATCCAGTTCCCCAGTGTAAGTGAGCAGCCTTCAGGTTGTTCTACATTTTGTCAGCTATCCATAGTTTCAAGGGGCAGCATCAGCAACATACCTAGTAACCTGGCTGGGGAGAGGGAGTTAGGGGCTGTAAGAGCACTATATGATTCTAAGCTGCTCTGATTCATCTATCTAGGGAGAATCTGCAAGTGACTGTTTAAGCTGGATGCACAGAGTAGCTATAGCAGGGAAGATGATCTAGCCTTCTCAACTGCTATCAAAAATATTCTCAGCAAATGTGCTGTAATACTAAGGTATCTTCAAAAGAAAGGCATCCTTTGTCCACCCCAATGAACAAAACAAAGCAAACAGAAGACAAACCACATCTAGGTTACCTGGGAAAGATTTGTTTAAACAATGTGTTGCAGAGTCCTGCCTCCATAACTGTGCTCCTATAATCAGATAGTTACTGAGTTTTATTTCAAACCTGAATAGACAGAGTATATGCCAAGTTTCATTCAGGAAAGGGTTTGTTTTAAACAAACATCCCAGTTATCAAGCTCCAAAGCAATGGGTTTGTAAAAGCAGTGCTGACAGTCTTTATACTTTTGGTGTTAAAGTCAGGATTTCCCCCATCCTGAAATATTAGTTCTTTTCCAATGGTGCAACTATCAGAAGCTATCAACTGCCATCTGTGAGACAGCACCCCCTAAGTGGTAAATACTGTTAAAATAATTAGGATAGAGCTTATTTATATTTTTAAAAGTATATTTATAGCAAACCAGTGCAATGAACATGTTGATTTAGCCCCTATATTGTTAGATGTTTAACTGTGCTATAACAGTCCCAAAACTCATTTTAGAAAATACAGCATTTACTATTTGTTATACACCTGCTAATACTGGTCACGACTGCCACTGCTTACATTTTAAACTTAAAGAGACTACATTTATTTTTAAAAGATAGTAAAAACAAACATGAACACCAAGTCTTTAAGGGGAGAGGTGAGAAAGAAGAGATGCATGGAGAAAGAGCCTTCTCTACATAGCAGGGCATATGCAGCAGCTAATCCCAAATTTCTTTTAACACTTAACCAGCCACTCAGTTTCAAACTCTCACTGAACAGTCAAGCACTGCATTGTTCCAGCCTTTTTGCTGGTTTGTATGGATGAGTACAAGGTGGAATGAAGTGTGACAACACACAATTAGTATGAGTAACAACCTTTCTAAACCATATCAAACAATGAATTTGTAAGTCTGAACAGACTGTTCATGTGTGTTATGACAGGTTCCACTGATTTTCATTAGACCATCAAATTCTGTATTGGAATGCAACACAAATACTTATAAATTAACCCACATGCTTATTGCGAATAATTTCTCCTCCTTCTATCTCAATTTGTTCATATAACCACTTGCGATCACAGCGGCATTCAGCTCCACATTTGTTGGAACCACACTTGGGACAAGCATAGAAGCATCCCAGGCAATCTTCATCAAGACAGTCACAGAGATCCATCCCACTATAAAGCAGAAGTCCCTGGCTATCATAGACTTTACTCTTTGCTGGGATGACTTGCCTGTATAATGAAAAACAGGTGTTACTTCCAGCATTCATAACAGAAGACCTTCCAGTTTACTTGATTACAAATAGTTAGCAATGGATGAAGAGAGAAATTAAACTTTGTCAGCAATTTTCTTGTGCTGAAAGGTTTAACACCAAACCATTCTAAAAGTTACACATACTCCACTGCTTATTGTTAACCACGTACATTAAAATTTGACCTCTGAAAACTGGAGCAATATTTTTTGTAGCTCTTTTGAACAGAGGTTCTCAACAAGAAGGTTCTCAATCTCTTCCTTACCATCATTCCATATTTAGCCATTTGCAATTCACTTTACGAATACACAGTAAAATAATCTTTTGCAACAGGTATAGCTGCATTTCAAGAGACTGTACACAACTATACATGAAGTACTTTTGACAGCTGAGGAAATATTCCTTTTACACTTTACTCAGAGCTTATGTCCTAGTGAATTCTAGTCAATCCAAAAAGTGTGGTTTTAAAAAAAAGAGAAAAGAGAAAAAGCCAAGTGTGCCTGTGGGAAAATCACATTCAAAAAAGTTGAAGTTGTGGGGTCTTGCCCAAGTTGATAGGTGACCTTTTTCTAACTTGGCAGATTTTTATTTATTTTTATATATCCATTTTTTTATGCTTTAGCAGTGTGACAAGAATTATATTGAATTTAGTACAATGAAAGGTGATAGTCGCATGAATATTTCCCTCTCATAAGGCCTGCATTATTTGGCTTAGTTTGTTTTGCCTACTGTCAGACTTTTACTTTGCATAATAATACATGGTATTAGTTGCTATGTCTAAATTCAGTCGGTTAGCATTGCCATGTTTTAACTAATATTTTATTCTATTATAATCTCAAAGCATGGTTTGACAAAAATATTTTATTGTAATATTCTATACATTGAAACAAAATTAATAGGCTATCTCAAAAAGGAGATTGGGCTACATAATAAAGACTTAGTTTTGTCATCACTCCTCCAAGCTTTAAAAAAAAGAAAAGAAAAGAGAGACAATCCAAACATCCCAAATTTTAAATATGAATTAACATAGTAAACAGCCCACCTGTCAGAATTAACCGATGTGCTTTTTGTTTGTAGCCTTCTTTTTTCCCTTTTACTGCTTTCTGGAGCAAATTCAGTCTGTCGTCCTGGATTAGCAAACTGCAAGGACTTCAAAGCTTTAGCTGTTCGCCCCTGAACAAAGATAGAAATTTTCATTTTAAATATTAATACCAAACCAGATCCATAGGAGAGTTGACAATCAAGCTGGGATTTTGTGAAGCCTCAAGTAAATTGTTAAGCCCAAAGCTGAGGCCAAGTGCTGCATCTATCAGCAGAGGACAATCTAAATCTTAAAAGAAAACAATTACACAAAGTAACTGTCCCACCCTTAGTGATGCAAGTTATATGAATAAATAGTAATATAAGTCTTACTTTTATAAGTGTAAGGGTTCTTATTTTCTGGTTCTCACTCACTCTGACCTCTAACCCTTTCCTAATAAGGCTCTGATGTGTTGTTAAAATATAGTTTTGGGGAATGCCCTATAGCAGGAGTGGACAAACTTTTTGGCCTGAGTGCCACATTGGGTTTCCAAAATTGTATGAATGGCCAGTTAGGGGAGGCTGTGCCTCCCCAAACAGCGAGGCATGGCCTGGACCCTGACCCGTACCCGACCCCCTCTGCTTCTTGCCCCCCCAACAGCCCTCCCTGGACTCCTACCCATACCCCCTGTTCCTTGACAGTTCCTGTCCCCGGGACTCCTGCCCCAACCACCACCCCCTGCTCCCTGTCCCCTGACCGCCCCCGGACCCCTGCCCCATCCAACCCCCCCTCCTTCCTGACTGCCCCCCCAAGACCCTTGCCCCATCCAACCCCCCCTCTCCTTCCTGACTGCCCCCACCCCCCCCGGACCCCTGCCCCATCCAAACACCCCTTCTCCCTGTCCCATGACCTCCCCTGGGACCCCTGCCCCCATTCATCCCCCGTTCCCTGCCCTCTGACCGCTCCGCCCCCATCCACACCCCTGCCCCCTGACCACCACCCTGAACTCCCCTGCCCCACTAACCAACCCCCCAGCTCCCTGCCCCCTTACCACGTTGCCTGCAGCACCGGTGGCTGGTGGCGCTACAGCCGCGCTGCCCAGAGCACCAGGTCAGGCCACGGCTCTGCAGCTGTGCTGCCCGGTCACCCAGAGCATTGTGCTGGCAGCATGGCTGCTGGGGAGGAGGAACAGCAGGGGAGGGGCCAAGGGCTAGCCTCCCAGCCAGGAGCTCAGGGACCAGGCAGGAGGGTCATGCGGGCCGGATGTGACCCGTGGGCCATAGTTTGCCCACCTATGCTCTATAGCTACATGGACAGCTGCTTCTAAATTTCAATATCTTGTCTTAGAAGCATAACCTACAATCCTTGTAAAGCGGTCAATCTTCCCTCCCATAGCACCAAACTTAGTTTCTTTTAAATCGAGCTAACATTTAACATGATCAAAATGGTAAATTAATATATTGGTTTTATTCCCATTAAGTCCTTTGTTTTCTATTTCTTCTCTTATAACCTCTGAATACATAAGACAAAAAAATTTCCAACTCCATTTCCTCACTTGACTGGATCAAGAAGCAATTCTCTCCAAAAGAGTTAATATGTACAGGAAAATGGCTTGTAATTTTAAATGTGTTAAATATTTACATCAGATTATTAACAGAATTTAAAAAACTTTCCCATGATGCCACTAAACTTTTGATGAGAATTTTTATAATGAAAAGAGATTGGACGTGTTCTGGATAGTGCCTCAGATATTGACAAGTCAAAATGCAGAGATTCCTAAACCAATTATATTGGACATTTGAGGATATACAGTAAAACTAATAAAAATAAACTTTGTGCCATATTTCTGAAATAACGTATGTACACAAAGGGAGGATTCATCCCTTCTAAAAATGAGTTTGTCTTGTTTACCTTCTAGATAAGTAACACAATAAGTCATTTTGTCAAGCTTGGCTGTACAAATATGCCAAATTTAGTACAGTAACCTTGTAGGACTGAGACCACAACATCATGGACTCAGTCCACCATAAACAATTCCAGTAAATTTTTTGTGGTAAGAATTATTTCTGTGCAGTATGCAACACTTCAGAAAAAGTCTGCAATTAATGTGTCATTCAGATTTTGTTTGATTAATCATGGGTTCTCAAACTGTGGGTCGAGACCCCAAAGTAGGCCACCCCCATTTGAATGGGGTCGCCAAGGCTGGTGTTGGCCCTGGGCCCCAGGAAGTCTAAAGCCCAAGTCCCACTGCCCAGGGCTACGGTTACATGCCCCCTGCCCAGAGCAGAAGCTCTTGGCCTTCAGCTTTGGCCCTGGCCCTGGCCCTGCCCGCGGTGGCAGAGCTCGGTCTTCCGTCCCCCCTCCTGGGCTTGTGTAGTAATTTTTGTTGTCAGAAGGGGGATCACGGTGCAATGAAGTTTGAGAACTGCTGGATTAGACAATATTTTATTATGACAAAAAAGCCAGCATTTTTCAGTTTGTAAATTTTTTTTGTAATTTAGCAGCACTAAGACTTGGGCTATGTCTACATTACGCAGCTCTAAGTGACATGGCTGGGCCGCTACAGCCGGGCCGCTAAAAGGCACGCAGTATAGCCGCTGTCTTTCGGCTCTCCTCCCAACAAAGTGCTGTTCACACTGGCACTTGTCGTCGACAAAACTTTTTTCTTTCGGTAGGGTGTTTTTTTAACATCTCTGAATGACAAAAGTTTTGTCTTTCACTTGCCGGTGTACACATAGCCTTAGTCTAGGACTTACACATGTTCTAAATATCTACTGTAGACAGGCAGTGTACATTTTAACACATGCTAAGCTAGCTGCATTAAAACCCAGGGAAAAGTGTGGACTTTTAACAGGATCAGTTAGTACATCAAAAGTACATCCAGCCTTGTCTACATTAGATTTTAGTAACGTATTAGAATGTGTTAGCTAATAGCCCAAGAAAAGACCTTTACGCACATCTACAGGGGAGCAGAAAACCCTCCCTTTTTTCTAAAAGGTCAAGACACATACTATTTAATGACTGTCCTATAAGAAAGTAGATTTTTTTAAAAAAGTTAGCATAAAAACAAAAGAGATTGATGGTCTCCCTTTAAAGCACATACCCATTAAATTGGTGAATTTTTCAAAAGAAGGTTTATAAATATTATCTCTCGTACACTAAAAAAATTAACATTTTCACATTTTAAGGAAACAAGTTATGAGCTTTCTTTATGTAGGACTCAAATCAAGCCCCACCCCATTAACCTGTAGAGTTTAGAGGGGTGAAAAATCGACCCATATACATACGTCTGAATCAAGTTTCCTTCTTTGGCGATCTTCAGGGTCAACATCCACACTTCCATTGATTATCTGTGTACACTTTGGACAAAGCTTCCAACCAGGTACAAACTGTCTTCCAAACTTGGCACTTAGAAAAGCTGCATCATCTAAGTCGATTGCGCGTAAGTTTTTCTTTGATACTTTCCTGTGTATGTTAAATGGGTCACAACATGATTTTTGCAGATCTTCAAATCTGTCAATGTAAATTTTTGCATGATGGAAGCAGATTGTATTGTTCTCAGAAAGAGTCACTCCAGTCCTAAGCTGAAGTAGTAGCAGATCGGATGAAGATAGATCTTGCTTAGTCTTGAAGCCAGCGTGACGGGTATAGTATATCTTATGACATTCATTAGCAGTTTGGAGCTGAATTCCAACTGAGCATGGATCCATCTTACTTGATCAGTATAATCTATTTCACTGTTACTTTGCCTAGAATCAATTCTTTGCAGTCTTTAGTAGTTTCTATGAGGATCACCCTGGAGAAAGCATTAAAATCAATCAGATTTGTGCTGCAAACCTTTATCTGTGAGCTTGAGAGATTAGGTTCAAGTGTTAAAAAACCCTAAAATTAAGTTTTATGAAATATTAGTGTACTATTTCCTTTTATTATAGTTGATAAGGCTGAGGATATTTTGGATTTTATTCAGAAATTAAGCTATAGTATATATTTATATTCCTTTTGGGGGAGGGGGGAGGCTTGTATTCAAATCTATGGTAAATGTTGACCTACTTTAAATACCTAAACTCATCTATGGAAAAGTACAAATTCCAAGTGTACTATGTTAGATACGCTGTCGTTTGATATGATACACACATCAAAGCTAGTTGCAAGCCCAACATTAGCCCTTAAAAGTGTAGAAGAGTCTGATAAAAGCTTTGTGAGATTTTCTAGTGCAACACAATGGTGAAAGTTGCATGTGCTTGAAGCCAAAAGGTTAAGAAGCATTCATATTGAGTTAATTTGCTTTTCAAAATGCCAAGCCCACCCACAAGTAATCTTGAACTAAGAACATAAACTTAACTTGGAGTTATAAATTCAACCACATGATTTTTTTGTATAAAGAATTTGGCAAATATATAAATTGGGAAACATTAACAAGAATAAAGTGTACATATTTTGCTAAATATGGAGACAGTACTATCCATCTTTTATTTATAGATATATATCAAAAGCCAGCTGTACACTGGAAAAAGGTATTTTAGAACTACTTGAGTTATCGCTTCCAACAAAATAAAAGCAAGATACTCAGCACACAAAATGTAATATTCTAGCAACAATAAAAACTAATATTTAATGAAAAAGTGTTCCAGACCTAACCAATATACAGAAGCTTCTAGCGTCATTTTTAAGTGTCTAAAGCTTAGAAAGGTTTCTTGACACAGGACAATGACTAGATAATATATCTTTTAAAAACAGAGACCATGAAAATCAATTGCATGCAGCATTTTTGCAGCAGAAATCCCCTTGATTGTAATGCTTCAGAGTTTTCCTAAACCTAACATCAATGCTACCTAATGTTCAAAATGTATATTAAAAATTTAATTACAGTTAAAATATAAATATGAATAAATGAGGAACACATCAGAATGTTACCATTTATTCACTGCAGACACAGTTCACAGGTGTCTTGCATGAGATAGTTGTTTCTAAAAGTAAAAATCCAAAACCAAATGATTTTCTAGGGCACTATTTTCAGTGAGCATCGAACCAGTTTCCAGTGCACAATTCTATAGTAGTTTGAAGACAGAAGTAATAACATACTACAGAATAACAGTTTTTACTATGTTCATTTTTCCTGAACATTTTTGTTCCTTGGTTTGTGTATTATCACAGGCTTTGCAATTAAGCGGTGCTCTGTTAATTTTCTGAGTTTTTAAAAAAATTTCATGAGACATACCAGAACCCTCAGCAACAGCATTCGACGCTATGGCAACAGTAAAAAAACCAAACAAACAAAAAAAACTTGACACTAGTCAAGTGGTTGAGAAATATATGCGGTTTTCATTTTAAGAGCAGCAAGTTTGTTTCTGTTGGCTATATTTGAAATGCATTGGCTATTTGCCTAACTGATTTCAGGCTGCAGCCCTCAAACCTGTATTTTAAGGAATGTATTTACAGTCAAACATAGATTATCTAAACTCTGCTTAACCAAAATTCTTGGTTATCTGAAAAGTCAAGTTAACTCTGTGAGAACTGATTGATGTTCTGGCCCTGAAGAGCTCCTAAGGTCTGCATGACTGAAATGCATGCAATTACCCTGGGTTTCTATAATTACCTAACATTTGGAAACCAATGGGGACTTTTGAGCTTTGAAAAAATTTATTCCAAATTCTTATGCAGGTCACTTTCATAGAATTTATAAGCTCTTATAGTATAACCTGTATGTTCATTTGAAAACGTTCATATAGCTGGAGTAGAGGCATGACACCAGAGACTCCCATTTCTCTACATCAGTGTTTCCCAAACTGTGTTCCACGGAACACGGGTGTTCCACACAATGTGAATAGGTGTTCCGTGAAAGAATCTAGAATTTAATTTTGACTCTTGCACTTGATTTTTGTACCACTTTGTACGCGCTATCCAGTTAGAAATTGTTAGTTCAAGTTATTATAAATTTGTATTTTTGCTTTGTTTTATAAAATAAAATATATTTGAGCATAAATAACGCAACTTTTTATTTGAAAACCAAACAACTACAAAATAATATTATAAGTGTTCCGTAATAGGCTAAAAAGCGGTCCGTGGGCAAAAATGTTTGGAAAATGTTGCTCTACATATTAGCTTACACTTGTCTTCAGCGTTAGTGGCATAGGAAGATTATCTGTATTTTTTCATTATTGCTTCATTCATTGTCAAACCAAAATCCAGCCAATTAAAATTAGATCCAGGACCCCGTCAATTTTTGTGGCTTTACCGCAACAACTTCCTAATTATTTTTATTTAACATATTTTTCTCCCCTCCCTTGCTTTTTAGGAGAGCCACAGAAACCAGCCAAAATGACTGACTACATTAGGCAAAAGAACAAAACTGGCTATAAACGAAGAACTATCAAGTGAACAAAGTACACAAACTACACAATACTTCCCCCTCCAATATTTTTGAATGATAAGAATTTTAGTGTTTACTTTGAGCAATAGAAAGTGATTTCTTCTCCAGACAGAACTGATCTTTGACAGTGTGCCTTTGAAGCTGTAAGTCTTTTATGGCTGGCATATAAACTGTTGACTTTGTTTTCAGAACTCATCAGCTGAGAATATAACAACTCAGATACTTGTCAGGGTTTACTTTGGTACATGCTGCACTGGTCATTTTCTTATGTTAAGATTTCCAATCTTTTTTGAGCTTTAAGCTTATCACTTTTAAGGATACTTGTCTAGCCGTTCTTTTGGATATTTTTATCTTACACTTTATGGGTTACATTTTAGAGTGAATCAGAACAGACAACCATAAAATCAAATATTTATATAAAATATAAAACATTTACTTCTATGGCCTTTACCAAAAATGTGTTTTGAGTTAAATGTAATAGACAATGAATAATTCTATTAGTGGTGCAAGTTGCATACTGGTAGTCTAGGTTTCACTATGTGTTGGAGGAAAAAAAAAGCTTGTTTGTTTGATCCTTCACTATGTGTGTATTTCTGAATGATTCCGGCCCCTGCTACATTAAAAATAGCACATATTACATAGCCAATATATAATTAAACAGGTTCCCAATTTTGCAGATGCATTCAAAAGCTGAATACTTGGAAGCTGAATTTGAAATAATAAAGTAGATTACTAAAAGTATTTTCTATTCATTTGCATTTATTTTCCTTAAAATGAAACTTCCATCCAGTTTTCTGATTGCTATTCTTGGCAGGCACCTACAATAATGGAGGATTGCACTACCTGAAGCTCCAACTGTACTCTGTTTTGAGAAAGCACCTTTTAAATGGGACACATCTGTGCATTCAACAATAATAAAGTTTATAGGACAATAAGTTTAGTTCTCGTTCCTTTGATTTATATGTGAATTGCTGGCACACACATAGAAATCGATGGATTTCCAAATTGGAAAAAGGAAGAAGTATATACAGTTCTTTTTAATTTAGAATAGCTCTCAGTGCAAAATGGAACAGAACAAAATTTCACACAATAATAGAGTTTTTTTATTTTATTTTTTAGTAAGGCTTGTATTCACCAGGATTTCCTAATTGACACTTACTGCTTGAACAGTGCAAACTGAAACAGCTCAAAGTGATGTGTGACGCAGATGCTCAAGGCACAATGAAGCACTTGTGTAAGCTAAGCCAAGAACACTTGAAGGAGTAGTGCAGTGGGAAAGCAGGGAACAAGTGCTGAAAACTGAAGTAAAGGTGGCAAGAAACGAAATAAAACTAGACTGATAGCAGTGTGTTATGAGGAGAAAACAGGAGAACAGCCAGAAGCTGCAACTTCAGGTCTCTCCATTCCCAAATAGACAGAGACCAGGCATATCAAATTGCAGCTTTTTATTTATAGTAGGAAGGCATGCTGCTCGTATATATCCAAACAGTGGTACTGGTTAGAGCCAGCTTTTTTGGATGTCTGAAGTTTTATGTGCTTTATTGTTGAGACAGCATCAGCCACTACTTTTGGCAAATGCTACTTAAATGAAAGCTCCAGCCTATCTACCTAAACTATCACAGTATTGTACTATTGGGGGGAGGGATAGCTCAGCAGTTTCAGCACTGCCCTGCTAAACCCAGGATTGAGTTCAATCCTTGTGGGGGCCCTTTAGGGATCTGGGCACAAATTGGGGATTGGTTCTGCGTTGAGCAGGGGGTTGGACTAGATGACCTCCTGAGGTCCCTTCCAACCCTGATATTCTAAGTAGGCTTTATATTGCTTTTGACCCTTATTTAATCACTTGGGTGCAGGGTTGGGGAAAAATCAGTGTTTTTAGAGTAAATTGTATACGGAGACAAAACGTGGAGCAAAGCAAGGTTTATTAGAGACAAACTCACACAAGCACTGCTGATGACAAAGAGGTACATTGTAGGCAATTCCATAATACAAGACCAAGAGATCAAAGTTAATAGCAAGTTCATTCAAAAGAAGGGGAAATGCCCCTGCGCGCAGCCTGCTGCAGAACGGAGCGAGGCAGACACCGAGGCCTGGTCTACCCTGAAAACTCACATCGACCCAGCTACGGAGGAGCTCAGGGCAATGAAGAAATCTTCCCCCTCCCCGAGCGCAGCCACGCCGGCCTAGCCCGGGTGTAGACACAGCTCGAGGCAGCCGCACTGGGCCCTCCCTCGGCTCCGACTCCCCGCTCCCGCGAGCCCGCCGCCAGGCCCTCCCGCTTCAGAGCCTCCCTCCACCAAACCCTGCCTCCCCCGCCGCCCCGTACCTTGCCGTAGGTTTTCTTCCGCCCTTGTGCCGCCACCCCGGAACCCGACTCCCGAGTGCCCCCCACCAGCGCCGCGGTACTCGTGGCCGCCATTAAACGTCGCCGCGCACCACAGAGCAGCGAGGCCGCCAGGAAGGCTAGAGAGTCGCTGCCTTTCAGTCCGCGACACACACACAGCGACCAGAGAGAGGCGGGCGGGCGACGCCCTCGTGACCAAGCTGCCGCGCGAGCGAGGCTGCGCATGCGCATTGCTTGCGGGCCGGGCGCGCGGGCACTCAGGGGGCGGGGCTCGGGCTGCGGCCTGGTGCTCTCTGCCGGGGAGGGGAGTCCCGCCCAACCCAGCGCGAGGGGTCGGGCTGGAGGGACCGTTCAGGGGCTCGTGGCTGCGCGGGGCGCGGCTGCTGCTGGCCCCAGTTCCCAGGCGGAGGCCGGGGCTGCATTGGCGATTCCGCAGCAGAGCAGAACCGGCGGCTTGGAGAAGTTCGGCGAACAGCTGCGGCGCTCGTCTGCCGTCCCTCGGTCTTGTGCCGGCGCGGCCCACACCCGGCCCTGCCCCCAGAGCTGTGCCAGGCCTGCCCTGAGGGCGTCGGGACTTGCCCAGGGTGGCGCAGGAAGCGTGTGGCAGACCAGGGCGTTCAAGCCTGGCGGGCATCCCGAAGCTCTCCTCGGCATCCCGTGCAGCAGCGTGGACCTACAGCCCGCCTGAAACACTAGTGCCCAGCCCAGAGCTGTGAACTGAGCCACTCTTCTTACTTCTCCAGCAGTGTGAAGTGAGAACAATAGATGTAGAGGTAGCGTATGATAAGGAAAAAGAAAAGGAGTACTTGTGGTACCTTAGACACTAACAAATTTATTTGAGCATAAGCTTTTGTGAGCTACAGCTCACTTTATCGGATGATAAAGGTGAGTCTCAGAAACCCCAGGGCAGCATCCACCCCACTGACCAATACTCCATTGAAAGAGCTGGTTGAAAGTTGGTATTTCTGTTTTACAGGGAATCTACCCTTCTGAAAAATTTTTGGTTCCAAATCTGAAGAGTCCAAAATTTATATAAAAATTTCCCCAGGCTGCATATAAAAATGAATAAAATATAAAAAATAAACTTGTGGAGAGTCCTTTTGAAGTGAAACAAAACATTCCATTCCAGTAAGGTCACTCCACAGTGTTTCAAAATGGAGCAATCCCCTAAGACAAAATCATGACCTTATGACACTGTGATGTTTTGTTGTTACCTTACCCACCTTGTCTCTCTGTTTGTTTCCACAACAAGGTGTAAGTACATTGTCTGTTTCCCAGACTGTTTTAGCCTTATCAAAATGCTTCATTCAGATTCCCCATCTCCTCCAATGGCAACACTGAGTCACATTCCTAGTTCCCACAGATTTTTTTCAATGGAAAAATGCTCTATGGGAAAGTTTTTGACCCACTCTGTAATGAAGCCATGCAAGTTTCGCTTGTTTCATATTTACCATTTTGCACAGTTCTAGTTGTCAGCTTTTCCTTTTTCCCCTTCAGTCATTTTGAATATAGGGTGGTTGGCTCATGGGCACAATTACAGGCATGAAACATTTTGGGGAATCAATGCAATGTGTTCATACACTGTCATGAAATAAACATTACAACATTGGAATGCCATAACTTTGTCCTATGGGAATAGGAAGTTGCAATAGAGACCATTAGAATCTTTTAAGTAGTTGTTGCTCTTTTGTTGGTGGCTGTTGATTTCATTTGGTGAGGTCCGAAAATCTTTCAAGATAGATTTAGAGTCAAACTCAGCTTTTATTTCTGCACGGTTAAGTCCTGAATGATGTGAGGAGCTGACACCAGCCTGTTTGTTTAAATTACAATCAGATGGCAGTACTGGGATTGGTCAAAGTATGGGTCTTCCTGTGAAATTTTAAACTCCACCTTCAGGTTTGTAGTGGTAGATTATATCCAAAAGAAATTTTAAAAAAGGATTAAACATGCATTTTTATTCAGGAAGCTTATAGTAATTGCTCTCCAGTTTAAGCCAGTTAAGCTCTTGCATCAACAAATGAGGCTAATTTGAAGAGGGTTTATTCCTATTATGGTTACAACTGTGTGCCTATCTGTGCCATGTCAAATAAAGATAGGATTAGGTATCCCATACTGGCCTATCAGTGGGAACAAACCACATGGGAGACACAAAAAGCAAAATACTGCCATCCTTACTTGTGACTAGCTCAGGCAAAATGATTAACTCTGTAATACAAAACGTAAAATAACCTGGCCAATCGTTAATTCTTTACGCAGGTTTTTACTGCATTTTATTCGCATTCATTTCAGTGGAAGTTTTGCCTGAATAATTACCAAATACAAATTATAAAAAGACTTCAGGATTTGTCCTGTTGCCTTCTATGGGAGTTTTGCACATGTAAATCTTAAGTAAAGTATCTGGCCCCAAAACAGAGCAGAGACCCACTTAAGTTCATAGGTGTCATGCTCTCTGGAGTGCCAACCTGAGGGCAGACTGTAAGAAAACAGGACAGACACTGCAAACTGGTGGTGTGTTCTATAATTAGATTGCACTAAGCCAGTGACAAATGTGAACTCCTGGATCATTATACCAGTCTTACCATGGAGTCATAGACAATCCCCTTTAGACTCTCCAGTCTATCTTGCCACCCCGACAAACTGGACTTTGTGATAAAATGGTCATTTACACCGAAAATAACATCACATCAGGTTCCTCCCAGTCCCAAGAGACCAGTCATTTACCCCAGATCAATTGGTACTCTAGATCTTACACCAAAGACAATGCTGGTAGCCAAGTCTATAGTAAACTAACTAAAAGTTCTGTTAGCTAAGAAAGGGAAATGACAGTTTTTGAGAGGATAAAGCAGGTAAAATATATGCACAGGTAGGTCACAGTTTGTAATTCCAAATGGTGGCAGTGATATAATAAACTACCAGTTCCCAAATGTCTTTTCAGGGTACTCAGATTGTCTCTGGGGATTTCTGCTTTGTGTCTGCTATGCTTCCCTGTAAGTGTCCAAACAGTCCAGAGATGCAGGATCTTTCCTTGAATCCATATTTATAGCTTCTTACAGAAAATAAGATGAGAGTGTCACTACCCACGTGGGCTTTTCCTTTGATGATGGAAAGTAACGAATGCATTTTGAGTCTTTGACCTCTGATCATCACACACAATGACCACTTGCTTTGAAATTAGCACTTTTTTCTTAAAGTTCTTCATTTGCATTCCACAAGGCTTCTTTCTTGTTTGATGAGTTATTTAGTTACAGGGGTATGCACAATATAAATGTTTGCTGCAACATTATAACGGGATACAGATAAGTGAAATCAATGCAAGTAACAACCCACTAGTTTTCATGAAGTTTAAACACCAAATACACTCTCATATATTTAACAATCACTTTGATCTTTCCTAATACACAAGTGAGTTGGCTTAGGGCTCTGGCATGAGCTAACACCTCGTCTGCCAGCATCACAATCAGTATGCATTAAAAACGACAGGTTTGACAGACATTGGATCTTTTATGTATGGTGTAGTAGTCGTGTCGGTCTCAGGATACTAGAGAGACAAGGTGGGTGAGGTAATATCTTTTATTGGACTAACTTCTGTTGGTGAGGGAGATAGGCTTTTAAGCCACACAGACCTGAAGAAGAGCTGTGTGTGGCTTGAAAGCTTGTCTTTCTCATTGGATCTTCTAGTCCTTTCCGCAACCAAAGCCATACACAGATTTTTTGTGAAAGCTAAATGGTCAAATGTGATATGAATTCCACTTTCAGGCCTGGTCTACATGTAAAAAAAAAAAAAAAATGTAGTTAAGATGACCTAAGCACTGGGTGTAGAAATTGCTGGATCACTGGACCTAGCTACTGCATCTCGAGGGAATGGATTTACTACAGCTACGGAAAACTTCTTCCATCTCTGTAGTATCTACACTACAGCAGCAGAGCTGCTGCTGTGTCACTGTAGTGTAGACATACTCTCAGTTACACATGCTGTACTGCACTGAGGGCCCTGAAAGCCCCATGTGTCTATTTGGCTCATAGTGCATAAAAATTGGCTAACATTTTAAAATTAAACCAAATCCCAAAGTGAAACTCAGGACTGGTCTACACTTGGAACATATAGCAGCGTAGCTACATCTCTCAAAAGTATGAAAAATCCACACTCCTGAGAGATGTCGCTATGCCGATCTAACCCCCAGTGTAGGCAGCGTTAGGTCAACCTAGTTACTGCCACTCAGGGATGTGGATTAACTACAGCAAAGGGAGAACTCCTCCCATCACTAGTGAGTGTCTACACTGAAGCACTGTAGTGGCACAGCTGCAGTGTTGCAGCTGTGCTACTGTAGTTTAAGTGTAGACATACCCTCAGGCTGTGCAAACCCACAGTAACCATAACTGAAAAATAAAGTTCATGTGCAGTTGAACCTCGGTGAACTGAAACTGCAGAGTTTCTCACAGCTATGTGTGTCAGCACCGTCAGTTATAGCTACCAACTGTGGGTGCAGTGATGCAATAGAGCCAGAAGAGGGCATGCTAAACTTTTTTTTGTAGGTTTTTCAGAAATTCGGGTTGCTGTTTAAAAAAAATTAACAATGGAATTGTAGAGTCCATATAATTCAAATTATGAAGACTTTCACTGTTATTAGACTAGGACAATTTTAGGCAAGCAGCCTAAATTTGTTCTCTTTCAAAAACCTCCTCAAAGCACATTTCTTCCCTGAAGGCTAACAGTAATCCACCACGTATTGAAGTATTATTTATTCTAAAAAACTCCAGAAAATCTGCTGCATGCATCACTATTTGTGATGAAACCACCTCCAGGTCACCTAACGTTTTGTGAGTCTTAATTGTTGCCTGTTGTTTGTCTTTTAAAATTGTAATATCTTTGGGGCAGAGACTATTGGTCTGATCCTGAGAGATGCTATGCAATTCCAGCTATGTTTATGCAGATGGTGTATTCCTGCATGTCTGCAAAGCATCATGCACATCAATGGTGCAATAAATAATAATAAATAATAATTAATAAGTAAGTACAGCATACATGTTTTAATAGATGCCTTTGATAGTAGTGCCATATATTTAAGCAGAAATGGATTGTTTTCCATTGGTGACATTTCTGTCCAGTCAGAG